CCAGGCTTACGCACACGTGTTTCAACAAGTGCATTGAGAACAAGTATGCGTTCTAAACCTCATTTACTGAAATTACTCATTTTTATCATGAAATTGAACTACTGAAATCTATAAATCTTGCAATTCGGAGCAGTTTAGAACATTTTCACCATTTGAATAAAGGTATTTGTATTCAATTTGGGTGCTTAAAGGGGTTTTACTTCATGCGTATTCAGGTACAAGGAATCTGAGTTAAACATGGGTGAAAACAGTTGCATTGACCGTTGCGTTTCAAAATATTGGCAGGTGAATTGATGATTTCTCCACTTCTGATAATTTTTTCTGCTGAACTCTTATATTAATGCATGTGCTTCAATGGTTACAAATGTTATCATTTGATGATTTGAAATTACTGCAATACATTTTTGAGCAAGTCATTTTTGTACTTCTTGTTATTGCGTAGTAGGAGAATGAGAACAAAACTAATGATAATTCTGTGCTGCACATATATATATATATATATACACACACACACACACACACACCTTAATGGAAGTTTCAACGGGTCCCTATTGTTTATGAGATGAACAACACAAACAGTACTTGCTAGTTGGTATAACATGTGTTCCTGGTGATGCTAAATTTGATGGCACGTTATCTGAGGAATTCGTAATGAAACAATAGATTTAATTAAAAAGGAAGAAATGTACAAGATTTTCGAATGCTCATCTTTATGGTGAAATTTATATTTTTCCTTATTGTTTGGCTAAACTGAAAAACTTAAATAAATAAGTTTGTTTTAAAATAAATAATTTTTTTCTATTGGTCAACTTTGGAAATAAATAAAGTATCAACCCTAGCTTATTGTCAAAGCAACAGTATGTAAGTATCAACAAAAATTTAACTATAACCTTAGCCAAACATCATGAACTTATTTCACAGAGGATGACCAAAAAGTCGATATTTTCTCAATGTCTGGTGATTACTTGTACAAATTGCAAAAACTAGTGAATGTGATGTGGAAGAAATGACAACGGGAAGAAAAAGTGATTGCCTTGTCATATTCTTGACTATATCTTGACAATAGGGTGATAGATAAACGGTCAACCACACGTCTATCCACTTGTAGTTGTGGGGTGATAAAGGGGTCAAGCGAGTAGATTCATCAACCAATTGATACCTATTTTACACTTTTACTAATATATAACAAGAATCTTTAAACCAATACAGAGTAGGCTTAACTATTAAGAAAGTTTGGCAGTCATCTAAGGCCCAAAAAATATTAGAATTTTCATATATCTATCTACCTTCCTTCATTTCTTGTTGTT